AGTTGAGCAAAATTTGCTTTTCCATTCAGTCAAATCCATGGTAAACCATTGTAATTTAGTATTTGGGTAAGAAATTTCATGTATTTCCTTTGAAAAGAATTTATAGCCATTGTTAAAATATTTCTAGTCAGAGCCCATTTGTAACTTAAATATTTGACACAAAGGTATGCAATTTGAAAGTGTTGAGAAAGAATGGATTTTATCATCTTATATGGAATTTTATTTTGTTAATAGATAATAATAATAATAATTACTATTGCAGTTGTAAATTCATACCAGGGGTGTCTCTTGAGTAGCTGTTGTCTGAATTAACTTGTGATGGAATTTTTTAATATTTTAGATTTTTTCCATCTGTGGACAAGTTGTGTGATACTTGACAGTCTCAACACTTCAGTTTTTTTAGAGTAAGAAAAGAAGTGAAGTGACATTGATATCTCAAAGTAAGCAGTTAATTCGTGATCTTTTATAATTCAGAAATTGTAAAACGATGTTTAGTTTGCCCCTCAGTGCTCCGTGGTTTGTGAAGATCCAGGTAATGTATACTGAGCTATTTTGATGGGAGTGTTAAGATCTGCAAGTAGCTGTTTGAAAGAGTAAAGTAATGTTAATCTAGTAAAGTAGATTTGCAAAGATTTGCCGAGTGACATTAACAATTTGATAAGAAAAATCATTCCTATTGGCGTTCTGGTTTAACATTGATTAGGATTCTGTTCTTGGTGTTGATATTAGGATAGGCTCAGCCAGGTTGGGATTTACACTTTTAATTTTCCGTCAGTTTACCCAGCCTCAGCACATGCCCTATCTGACAGCTCTCTGTTTAACAAGCATTATTTGCTCCATGGAGCAATTTTCTCACTGATCACTGGAAGTATTTATCCTTGTTACTCCACTAGTCAACAATTTTAGTGACCTAGTCTGACAGGACATCTGACACATCACAAAGGAATAAAAGTTCCGTCAATTTTGCAGGATCTGTGGTTGAAAGGAGAGAAACGTTGAAAATTAGCTGTATTTATCTGGTGTACATGCATAGGATCGCATTGCTGCCACTCAGACAGCTTGAAAGTGGATGCCCCATGAACTCGTGGTTGAATTTGAACTCAAAAATCTATAAGTTGACAGCATTGCTGATAGATTGTTGATTCAAAGAGTATGTATGACAGCATATTGTCTATGTCACTGGCATTGAAAATCATTCGTAAATATTTCAAACAGTTTTGCTTTTGAAGAAAGCATTTTTTCAGAATTCATGTATGGAGCTGCTTCTTTAAAAAATACTTTTTGTGGCAAAATGTGTAAATGATGGAATGGCAACCATGATAAAAAGATGGAATATGTGGTAAGCAACAACAAAAATGACGAATAAACACAAGTTTCAATTTGAAGAAAAATATTAGCAAATTTAGATGATACTTCTGAAATTGAGCAAGTTTTTAAGCTGTCAAGTAATTTGACATGTTCTGATATACTGGTATATATCTCAAGCCCCTAAGCCCAGGCTTATTGGAATATAAAGGTACTAGTAGAAATGGTTTGACTCCAAGTAGCTAAGGAGAAGATGTTATTTCTGTGACAATTTTAAAGGCATTGGGTGGCATAAGCTAACTGATATATTTGTGAAAATTGGAACAGAGAGGTCTAAGATAAGTGGTTTGTACTGNGGGTGACAGGTAGGCTTACAGAATTTGTGATAGGGTATGATACTCTTTTATGCGATCTGACACACACCTTGAAAACGGGTAGTGTGGTCAGATATACCGGTTTATTCTGGACCCGTAGGTGCCGAGTCTGGTAGTTGGGAAGGCCTGTAAATGCCACAGCAAAAAACCATGGGTGGGTACCTTGGGTTACTTGAGATTCTCTTTTATGTTCTCACCACAATATACCTTTTATAGTTTCCCTTTTTTAACAAAGCAGCAGTTCACTTGTTTTTGCTAATTTTTGGGGAATAATCTGAGATAGCATCAGGTACATATTGTTTCCATGCTATTTTGTCTTCTTTCCCTACATTCTACAGCAACTGATACCTCAAAGAATAGCACATAACATCAAAGCTCAGAGCCATAGGGCCCCATTAAGTCTTTCCTTGTTATTTTGGTGTTTGTTGATATTGGGAACAAATGAAATGACACATTGTTATGTATGCAAAAGTGCTTGTAAATAGGGCAAATTGCTAACTGGTACACAGAGATGTCCTATTCGGACTCTCCCCTTTTTAGTGAAAACACAGTCAAAACTGTTGCACACACCTGTACTCACACTTCGTAAAATGGTGGACAGGGAGCAGGTTCGCGGGACCAACTTTACCACATTATTTCCACTTAACCTCTGATTTGAGGTTTTGGGGTTAGTCTTCAGGTGTGTATTTTCACAAATCCAGTGATATATTGTCCAAATCTAAACAAATTTAGTTTTGCGTTTACAGGTTATGTTTTTAGTTAATAAAGTGTCTAATGATAATGAAAAACACGGCCGTTGCTCTTACACTTTAAGTCTTGTGACAAATATGCAGGAAATGAGGAAATGATATTAATGGCAAATCAGCCAGTGCAGTGTGACATCACATAAAAGCTGACAGAATTTATCCTTAGATATTTTTCTGGTAGAAAATTTAGTAGAATTGCAGTTTTTTTTTTTTTTTGCAACAATACGTATTCACCTTGTTTTTGGATATTACTTTTAAATTTATTGGTTTCTAATACGTTATGCCCAGTGTATAGAGTTTCACTCTTATTGCTTAAAGGTTAGCCCAACCTTTCTTGCACATTTTGTGGCCTTGTTTGACAAGAAACGGTGCCTACAGCCTCATTTTATGTTATTCAAATCTTTTCCATTGCAATTATCTATTATTTTCCAATTGATCTACATTGGCAAACTTTCCCAAAACTTTCAGGGGACAAAAGATCAAGTGTTAAAAAGCTTTGTAGCCTTACAGTGCAGAAATGACATCTTAAACCAGTCAGGTATTTGTCCCAATTTAACAACTTGAGAAATAATTAAGACTACCTGTGGGGGGCAATTAATGTCTTCACCTGGTTTGTTGTCAAAATAATTGTGTAAGGGCTGTCATAATTAGATTACAGGTTATTACTGATAGAACATAGCACAGTTGAACAAGGTATAGATGTTATTGTGAACCCTTTTCGTGTTTCACAGAGATTGTTATCAAATAATTCAGGAATAGAAATAAAATAAAGATTTAAAATGCATTGACTACAACATCTCAATGACAATATAGATAAATTATGAATATATTAACAGTTTTATTTTGACAGACACATTTTCTCGGAGGACATTTATTTGTTTTAATACCGAGAAAATCAATTTAATACCAAACAAAAACATTGTTCCTTGAAAAGGAAAAAGGGAAAAAGTGTTGCGTGTTGGATAAAGGATTATCATGTCAAATTGCCTGTAGTTCACTGCAGTCCTATGACAGGTAATGCAATACTTTAGTCACAGAGCAAGAATACAGATGTGAACTGAACAAAATTGGAGCCTTTTATTGATGACAACGAAGGTTTATGGTACATTGCCTTGACTACTTTGAAGTATCTCTGATTTACATGAAATTCCCTTTGCAATGTTGAAAAAAGCTTCATTTCCCTTTTTGGCTTAGTATGTGGCAGTTTTAAACAAAATTACTGCAGTTTAGTTGTGAATAACTATTTTTTTTTTTTGCAAAAAGATGTGTTTGTTCGGATGTGTAAATTTGCTTTACATGTCTAAACACAGATTGTTATGACATTATACTAATGTGGACATAAAAAATATTTATTGTGTAAAATTAATATAAACTTGATGGAGATGGAGTTTTAGATATTCAAGGGCAACAGAGAATGGTTCATTGCACAGATTGTATAACAGAATTAGAAAAAAAAGGTTTCAAATCAGATTAGGGACTCTTCCTCAGAGAGATGCTGTCAGCCACTTAACTTGATGAATTACTAGATGGCCGTACAAAGGGTCAAGATATAATCATCAATATATGCGATAGAGGGGAGAAGGGAAGATGGATTTCTACCAGGTTATAGAGAATAGCAGAGAAAGTATACTGGGAACACTCTAGCATGAATTTCAGTTGAGCAAAATTTGCTTTTCCATTCAGTCAAATCCATGGTAAACCATTGTAATTTAGTATTTGGGTAAGAAATTTCATGTATTTCCTTTGAAAAGAATTTATAGCCATTGTTAAAATATTTCTAGTCAGAGCCCATTTGTAACTTAAATATTTGACACAAAGGTATGCAATTTGAAAGTGTTGAGAAAGAATGGATTTTATCATCTTATATGAAATTTTATTATGTTAATAGATATTAATAATAATAATTACTATTGCAGTTGTACATTCATACCAGGGGTGTCTCTCAAGTAGCTGTTGTCTGAATTAACTTGTGATGGAATTTTTTTATATTTTAGATTTTTTCCATCTGTGGACAAGTTGTGTGATGCTTGACAGTCTCAACACTTCAGTTTTTTTAAAGTAAGAAAAGAAGTGAAGTGACATTGATATCTCAAAGTAAGCAGTTAATTTGTGATCTTTTATAATTCAGAAATTGTAAAACGATGTTTAGTTTGCCCCTCAGTGCTCTGTGGTTTGTGAAGATCCAGGTAATGTATACTGAGCTATTTTGATGGGAGTGTTAAGATCTGCAAGTAGCTGTTTGAAAGAGTAAAGTAATGTTAATCTAGTAAAGTAGATTTGCAAAGATTTGCCGAGTGACATTAACAATTTGATAAGAAAAATCATTCCTATTGGCGTTCTGGTTTAACATTGATTAGGATTCTGTTCTTGGTGTTGATATTAGGATAGGCTCAGCCAGGTTGGGATTTACACTTTTAATTTTCCGTCAGTTTACCCAGCCTCAGCACATGCCCTATCTGACAGCTCTCTGTTTAACAAGCATTATTTGCTCCATGGAGCAATTTTCTCACTGATCACTGGAAGTATTTATCCTTGTTACTCCACTAGTCAACAATTTTAGTGACCTAGTCTGACAGGACATCTGACACATCACAAAGGAATAAAAGTTCCGTCAATTTTGCAGGATCTGTGGTTGAAAGGAGAGAAACGTTGAAAATTAGCTGTATTTATCTGGTGTACATGCATAGGATCGCATTGCTGCCACTCAGACAGCTTGAAAGTGGATGCCCCGTGAACTCGTGGTTGAATTTGAACTCAAAAATCTATAAGTTGACAGCATTGCTGATAGATTGTTGATTCAAAGAGTATGTATGACAGCATATTGTCTATGTCACTGGCATTGAAAATCATTCGTAAATATTTCAAACAGTTTTGCTTTTGAAGAAAGCATTTTTTCAGAATTCATGTATGGAGCTGCTTCTTTAAAAAATACTTTTTGTGGCAAAATGTGTAAATGATGGAATGGCAACCATGATAAAAAGATGGAATATGTGGTAAGCAACAACAAAAATGACGAAAAATATTAGCAAATTTAGATGATACTTCTGAAATTGAGCAAGTTTTTAAGCTGTCAAGTAATTTGACATGTTCTGATATACTGGTATATATCTCAAGCCCCTAAGCCCAGGCTTATTGGAATATAAAGGTACTAGTAGAAATGGTTTGACTCCAAGTAGCTAAGGAGAAGATGTTATTTCTGTGACAATTTTAAAGGCATTGGGTGGCATAAGCTAACTGATATATTTGTGAAAATTGGAACAGAGAGGTCTAAGATAAGTGGTTTGTATTGTGGCTTATCTCAGTGACTGCTGTATTTGAGATAAAGTATTTTTAGTGATAGTCAGTGTAGGCATGGTGGTAAATATCAAGGATTTTACGTATTGTATATTATGTAAGAGAAAAAGAGAACAGGTACAGTAGCCAGAAGTGTGAACGAGATATGGCAAACCTGGATTTATATCAGAACGAAAAAGTCCCTGAATAAGGCCCATGTTAATTTGTGTATTCACTTCAAAGGAAAGAGATATGAAAAAGCAATTACTTTGTCAGTTTTCTGCCAGTTTGCCTCATCTGTGCTCCCTGTGTTGAGACTAGGTGCAAAATACACTGGTTTGCATGTGTGAAGACAGATAACTTCATCTTGCAAAAAAAAAAAAAGTTCTGATCATCAGTTGTCTTTTGTGATCATTATATCAGGCTTGATATGGTTCTGTTCATTATTTGTATTGATACACACTCATGTTTTATGTATGTGGCTGTAGCTTAAAAGTATACAGGTATAAATAAGTAAGTATATTTGAAGCTTTGTACCTGATGCTACCATAGACAGTCAGAAGTACACAGAAAAATCAGATGGAGCTTAAACAACATATCACATTAGTTTTGATGAGGTGTGAGTGCATGTATACAGCCATACAAACATTCAGAATTTTTGTTTTGTAAATAGACCTACCATATTGAGGTAAAGTACAGCCTGACTACTGTTCCGTTCTTGCCACTCAGATCACTGCAAGAACATGCACAAACCTAATTAATTCAGTATCTGGAGGAGACAAAACAACTCTGTGTGAAGCAGTATGGGGAGGGGGGGATACCATGGATATACTGTTAGTACACATGCTTGCCTTCATCTGTGGAGGCTAAGCTGAGAGCAGAAGAATTAAAATATTGCAGGTGTTAAATATATCACCAGTTGGCTTATTATATTTTTTAATTGGAGGGGGCATGGTGAGGTACTATGCATAAAGGATAATCCACATATTCTGCTGGTTTTCAGATATTGAAAGCCCAAGTGATTTACAAGTAGTATCATCTAATGGAAGGGCATTGATGTTTCAGCAGCTATAGTTTCAACCCATTGAGATAGAGATATATATTCATGAGTATTTAAAGAGCTCTACATTTTTGTGGGGAAAAAGAATAAATAAATTACCAATTGTGTTAACGTGAACAAGAAATGTGTAGAAAAACCATTGCTCTTGCATTTAGAAACACAAAAATAGATTTCAGGCTTAATGGAATGCTGTCTCTTTTCAGCTACAGAACAATGGTAATCCAGAATGGCCAAGCAGTATGACTTCTCGTGGCAGAGACCAGTCCCCGAGATCCTGCTGAAAGGGGGGATACTAGACAGGTGGGATGAGGTAAGACAATAATGATAATAAAATGGAGCACAAGGCTCAAGGAAAAGGGGTGAGATCCTGCTGAAAGGGTGATACAAGACGGTAGGATGAGGTAAGATGATGACAGTATGTTGGAGCACAGGTAAGATGATGACAGTATGTTGGAGCACAGGTAAGATGATGACAGTATGTTGGAGCACAGGTAAGATGATGACAGTATGTTGGAGCACAGGTAAGATGATGACAGTATGTTGGAGCACAGGTAAGATGATGACAGTATGTTGGAGCACAGGTAAGATGATGACAGTATGTTGGAGCACAGGTAAGATGATGACAGTATGTTGGAGCACAGGTAAGATGATGACAGTATGTTGGAGCACAGGTAAGATGATGACAGTACTTTGGAGCACTCGACAGATGGGATGCAGGTGATTATACATGCTCATTTCAAACATCTCACTTATTACCATATTATATTTATCTTAACATTCATCATTTTAGGGGTCTCATAGAAGCATACTTTCTGATAGATACCCAGCTGTCTTTTTTCATAACTTTTAAATTACTGTTAGGGATGTTATGAAGAAAATTAATCTTGAGAAATATAAAGTAATGAAACAGTTTTCTTCAAATTTAATGAGCAATTACCATGAGTTAGTTCTGAAAGATGGCACTGGGCAGATGGGATAAAGTAAGTTGGAGAAGATGGTATTACAAAGGTGGGATATGGCATAGTAGTAAAAGGTAGAGTATAAAAGGTAGTGAAAGGTAGATACCACTGAGGGAATATAGCAAGGGACTGAAATGAGGACACCTGGCAGATGGGATGAGGTAATGCACTGAAAGTGGGTTTCTAGACTAGTAAGATGAAGTAATGTGGTAAAATATAGGTTTCTACACAAATAGGATGAGATAAAGTACCATAAACAAGGTTAAAAACATCCAGTCTAGTGAAAGTTAGCCCTAGGGAAACACATATCTATCAATAAAGTACTAGTAGTCTAAATTGTTTCTCTCAAGACCCCGTATCCCCCCCCCTTCTTCAGTACTTCAGTACATAAACCTCAGTTGCCTTGTGCAGAAGATTGTCTGCATGAGCCAGAAGAATCTTGATAAATTAATTGTCTGATAACTCATTTAAGATTGCAATCTGTCTTTGTGTGTGGATGTTCTTTTAGGTAAATAGAATAAGGGGGAAAACTCAATCAGGTATGTTATATAGATTTGGTTAAGACTACTGATGAAGGCAGCTGGAGTGCGTTGATGCATAAGGAGAGTTGCCTCCAAAGTTCAGAGCAGATAATTTATTGGAAAGATAGTGTTTTATACTTACGGTTGTGTTGGAAATCCAAAAGTGACCTTGAATTTGCTCTTTAGCCTTCTTTGCACAGTGGATTACCCTTTTACAACTTTCTTATCCATGTATCTCCAAACTAGAAGAGATTCATCCATTATTTCAGCCATAGTTGTTATTTAATTTGATGACGAAATAATCAATTGTCAATCCAAATATGTGCTTGAATTAGATTTTTGTTTAGCATTTTAAATACATTTATATATTTGATGATTTGTGTTAGGGATGCCTTGGTATAATAAGAAAATAAGCAAAATTTCAGGGAAAATTTGTTTCTTTGCTATTTAAGTGTCTACAATACATTGCCAAGGCCCCTTTTAATCAATTTTCCAGTGTGTTGATCAGCAACGATATTGTACCAAACAACATGTAAGTGTTATTATATACTTATACTAGAAGTTTAGAGGTTTATATTGTGATTTTAGATATCTATGAATTTAATTTTCAGAATGAAAATGGGGTGGAGCCTAACTGTCGAGTCAAAGTGGATGAATATGGATTCTTTATATATTGGAAGAGCGAAGGAAGGGTAAGTCCATTTTCCTCTCTGTCACTCGCTCTCTCACTTTTTTCCCTTTCTTAGGCACGCATGCGCATGCTCACACATGCATAAACACACACACACACACACACACACACACACACACACACACACACCATTTTTCTGTATACAGTACATAAGTTATTCCTCTGAACTGAACTATAACTAACATAATAGCCTTTGCATCATGACTGTATGCACCATTCAAGAGTAATTTCCTAGAAATATAATGGCGATGACTAATAAGGTTTGCCTCCATTTGAAAGGATTAAATCTAATGAGCAAAAGTAAAAGGCTTAAATCATAAAGTGATTACAATTAGTTTTGGTCAATATGTATGTGGGTATTGAAATGGTCTAATGTGTGTGGATGGCAATACAGACAGGGTACATGTTCAATTTGATGAAAAGAAGGACTATACAAACAATACAAAAAACAGACATACCCACATAATTTTGTGATTGTCTGAGAATGAAAAATTTTGAAAAAGTAAAGTAGTATTGAAAGAAAAGAGGTGTTAAATTTAATAAAAATTGCCATTAGAGGATGTACACAAATGCATGTGCACACACATTTATAAATGATGCCAGATTTTTAATCTGATTCATATAGTCAGATCTCTGATAAGAATCAGATTTGATCAACTTAGGATAGGTGAGAAGCCTTCAAACACTAGCTTTGCAAAATTAGGTTTACTTCTAGGAAAATTACATCATGGAACATGTGGTCTACTTTCAACCAACGTTAGTGTGAACATTCTTAAAACAGATGTTGGCATTGCCTCATGCATTAAAATAAATAAAGCTTGATGTTTTCTAAACCAGAGGCCTTATACCTTTAAAAAGGAGTATTTTCTGTAATTTGTTTCTTTTTTTAATGTCTGAGTTTTTTTTTATTAATTTGCATGCAAAAAAATAAGTTTGGATAAATGTTACAAGACAGTTTTAAAAGTGTGGACAAAACAAAATTAAATTACTGAGCAAGAAAGTGCTGATGATCTTTTGATACACGCAATTATTAAAGGGGTAAAGGCTCATATGCCAGTCAAAACTGAAATCAACTGATGTTACAGCTAACATAACTGTTATAGTTGTGGTTATGTGGTTTTCACAGGTACTAGTTGTGTTTCTCGTTATGATTCCTTAAAGTAAAGAATAGTTCATGGTAATGGACTCTTGCTTACACCTGTAGATAAAATATCTTAGAGATAGGGTTCCTGGTCAGTGTTAGGTGACTCTTGAACATAAACAGCCTTTTACAAAGTTATGGGGACCCAAATCTCATCAACATAACATGATATTAAGCAGCAGTCTGTTTTTAAGAAAAATTCCCCAAGAATCACTCAGGGACACTGTTTTGCCATTTGAATACCTTTGCAATATAGACATCCTTTTACCTTGACACAAAGAAGTTTTTGTATCAAGAGGACCCAGCGTGCAATCTTACTAGTATACATGCTCTGCCATGTAAGCGGAAGTCCAGATGCACTTATCACTCCCAAAAATCTACAAAAAAACCAATGCAGTTTACACTGAATGCTGCCCATACCTTTCAGACACCTGGAATGATTTAAATGGATTTTTTTGGCTTCTAAGTATAGGAACCAATAATTCTCGGTACCCAGATTTAGAATCTGGCTACCTGAGCCAAGCATAATAATACAGCTGGTTGTGAACAGGTCGGTTGACTGAGACAAGCTGAAGCCGCATTCAGACACAGACTTGATGTGATTGGTTAAGGTCTAAATGACACTGTCAGTTAAAATTAGTCTTATGTTTAAGATTAGCCTTGCCAAGCCCAACAAGGAACTCACTAAATACTGCCTTAAATATACTACCTTAAACTTATCTGCTCTGCTACATCAACTGTTGCTTACATAGTATACACATTTGAGAATATATGCTTCCATTATATTATTCCACTATTCCCATTAGATGATTTGGATGAGGAAATTGGATTCTCTGTGAAGTCATTGATACCTGAACCGGTTTAGGTCTAAGTTGGTGTCTGAACTCACCTAATGTCAGCCATTGGAGGTAATGCAAAAGTGGAGGAATGTGTTAAAAAGGCTGCTTCCCATACCTTCAGCACATTGATAACAATAATACCATTATAAAGTAAGGGGAATTCCGGTCAGGTTACACCCATATGGCTGCCAGGATTGCTTTGTGTTGTTCTGAAGATGGTTCTCTGGAGTTTCAGCATATTTGCTGTTCAAATGAGGGAGTAGGGGTACCCTTCCAACATTTTATATCTTTTGAATGGGGATTATATCAAGAGTGGTCCTTTTTGACCAGCTTTGAAGTAGGCAAACATACTGGACAGAAGAGAACCAGTATCTGTTCTTAGATACTCAGGGTATTTAATGATTGCATATATGTGTACTAATGCATGTTTTGGGATAATCCGGGCAAAACAATGAGTACCTGTTTGCATTAGATTATGTCCCTAATGGCTACTTACCCTTACTAACTGCTTTAAACAAATCCATAAAAAATTGCATACATTTTTTACATGTTTGTTGGATTTAGGGCCAGAAAGCTGGAGGTGTTGTATATGTATTCCTTTGGTAAAGAAGCATGAAATGTTTTCTAAATACTCTTGATTTCATGTAAACGGGATGTTCCTGTGTTTGTTTGCTGTAGATAGTGGTGCCCTTTTCCAGGACATTCGAAGTTTAAAAAGCAGCTCTTTTATTTTCTTCAAGTAATGAAGTCTTAAAAGCAGAGCAAGTTTTATCCCAAAAAAAAAAAAACTATATATATGATAATGTATCTGCATATTTCTGGTCATATTAAGCTTTGGGTTGATCTAAGTGCACTTGCTGGGGTGGGGGGGATGGGGGGGGGGAGGTTGATTGCATTAAATCTTGCAGAGATGAAAGAATAATAGGTTGAAATGCTGCAAGTAAAGCATTCTGTAGTGTGTCTGCAGTCAGCATCTAGAAACCAAGATGTTGCTTACAAAAAAATTGGACAATTTTTTGCAGGTTTATTGTTAGACACCAATAAAACCATAATTACTTCATTTATATAATTTTTTTTGTGACAGGTATGTTGTTTAAAAAATGTTGCTATAAAATTCCATTCCAAATATTCATTGAGTGCCAAGGTATATTATAGTAATCTGGTCTTCTTTATTGAAAGAGAGCAATGGTATCTAACTGAATATAAGATCATTTTTTAACAGAACTTGAGGTATAATAAATATTTAGATAAAGAATGCAAAATTTAAACTTGCTCTTCTTACCTTTAGATCCTCATAGTTTTTTTCTGCAGGATAAATTCTGCTCAGATTTTTATTGAATGCATAAAAATATGATGACAAATAAATGTAAAAAAAAGTGTTAATTTCAGAAGCCTAGCCAAACACTCTAGTACTCTATTTCACCAACGTTTAGACCAAAATGTTTAGTCTGCTTTGATGCAGCATAACTGTGTAAGACACCCTTATTGCACAGGCGCGTATAGCCAAAGGGGAGGGGGGGAGTTGAATTGAATAATCTACCCTTTTTGCTTGAAAAAGGTCTGCTCTGGGAAAAATTTGATCTAGGTTAATGGTAAAAGGTCCACTTAAAAAAAATAAAATAAAATAAAAAACCTCCAGTCCACCCCCATTGAAATTGCTGGATAGAAGCCTGCTGTAGAACATGTCTTTTTGTAAAGCAAGGCCCCATTTCCTCATTTTTTAGATCAGAAATGAGCAATTAAAATTTAACTGTAATATTATTGTTACACATGCATGTATGCTTCCCCCTGCACACACATACATTCCTATACATGCTTATTATAAAACTTTGTTATAACATAGCAATACATTATATATATTGATGTAAACATCATAGAAATATCATATACAAAAGATGCACTGGTCTTACATAGACACACATTACATAGACACACATTACTATCAAATTACAAAATGAAATGTCACACTGTCTATCAATTGTGGGTCCAAGATGACTAAAATGTTTAGTCTTACAGTCAAGACCCACTGTGGACTTTAGATCTTATATTTTAGACACAAGAATAGTTGGGCCCCTGAGAATATTTCCCTTACACAAATATATCTTGTCCCCACCATGACATAACAGACAGACAACTCTCTCGGGGACGTTAATGATAATCAATACATTGTATGCTTTGTTAATTATGGAAGAGAAAAACTCTTCCTTAATTGGAAAAACTCTGGTCAAAATCAACATCAGTGCTATATGGATGACAGTGAGCTGTCTTATCCTTGAAGCTTTTCCAACTCTGCCATGACTCTCAAGCTGCTAATCAATAAAGAGCTTAAGCAACTCTTTCCAGGCCCTTATCAAGCGGAATTAGCATCCCTATAGTGGCCGGGAATATTGGAAATCGATGCCAGCCAACCCCTGCTTCTCACTCCAAGGGGCCAGAGTGGCAAAAATTTATCTTTTTAGTCCTGTTTCTCCATGCTGAGAAGAGCAAATGCATTTGGAATTAATCATGCTTAATTTGGAAGCAATTGTGGACATGATGGCCCTTGTGGTCAATTTAAAGAAATGACCAGTATGTGTGGGTGTTTAATCATTCGTTTTATGCGCAGATTTGCTATAATTGGAATCAGTGAGTTTATTTATTGTAAACAATCTGTCTTGGAATATGTATGGAACAGGATAAGAAAGTGAAAGTCTGCCGTGTGAGTTGTTTATAACTGTTGGTAAATTAGAATATTATCCCAGAAAATAATTTCAAAAAAAAAAAAAAAAAAAAAAAGAATTTAGCCTGTAAGCAGATTTATCTAGGAACACAAGGCTGGAATTATCTAGCAACACAACAAGGCTTGTGTCCTTTTTGTTTCTAATTAGTGACAATGTGGGATGGGGTTTGCCTTGTAAAGGAATTTTTGATAATTCAGATAATTTCCATGTGTGAATGTGTAATACCACAAAGATATCTCTGACTGGCCACCACGTGTATATTAGACCCCATTCAGATAGACACATTGTATCTGTTGGGAGGATCCAACTCTGAAGGGGATTTTAGCTAAGTGCAATCAGTGTAATCACCTTAATTGCCGTACGCCTCTCCTTTGTAATTCAGTTAAGCCAATTGCACTGAGTGAGATTCCCCGCAGAGTTGGACTGACCCAACTAGTAGGATTCGTCTATCTGAATGCTCCCTAAGCTTATATGTTTTCCAGGTTCTGCATGCATGCAAACCTGTATTATCCTAGGACTGGGTCAAAGTCATGATTCAACTCCATTTATAGATAATTTTCCCAGAGGTGTCATCTGCCATTCTGGGAAAATCTGCTGTTGGATGTGATCTATTACGGCTAATAGGCCAGCCAAGCACAAATCTGATTTCTGCTTAGGATTCTCTGGAAATTTTACAAGCTTCATAAATCACTGATCGAGATGGGCTCTTTAACTGTCAGTAATAAAGTGATACTTCTACTTGCTGCGGAAAAACAAAATGTGTTTAATATGTCATTTAGGCTGACGTGATTTCACTGTGGTGTGTCAAGGTATATTTTGGCTTGGTCCGAAATTGAGTTTCAGTGTCTTCTAATTCACTTTTTATTTATCTAATGGTGCTGTTCAAGTATTTTTTTTCCAGGGCAAGTTTTTTTAGATCTCGGGGCCAAGTGTATGTATGTTTTTGTATGCATTTTGATTAATGCTGGCAAACATATATGAGTATGTTGGCCCCTTTACTTATGACATATATGATGAGGGACTTAATTTGTATAATGGCACATTAAATTTTCATACCCACATTGTGCTGCATACTAGTATGTCAATTCAATTCAATTCAGTCCCTGAAAAGACATATAAGACCTTTCAAACTTTATTTCAATAAACTGTCTAGTTTAGTTTTATTTGGTATTTGCTGGTCTTACTGCAATTAAGTATTAAGTGAGTATCTGCACAGCATTACTCTTATTCATTTCTTTCTTTAAAAAGGCAATTTTGGTTGAAATACAAAACTGGTATTCTTTTCTGTTCATATGCTGCAAAGGCTTGCAATAAAAACCCTTGATGCAGGAATATGAATGGGTTACATGGAGGGCATGTCCTCTACAGTGTGTGTGTGTGTGTGTGTGTGTGTGTGTGTGTGTGTGTGTGTGTGTGTGTAGTATGTGCATGTGCGCACGCACACATATGTAAGGCAATGGAAATCAACCTAGATAGCACAAAGTCAAATGACATTTTCCCAGATATGAAGGAGAGTGGGATCAGATATGATGCCAGGCCAGCGAATGCAATGATGGTTGTTTTCTCTTACAGTCAGTTGCACAACAGTGTATGTTAACAATGTCTTCCTTGTTACCTTCTTATTACTTTCTAAGATGATGTTCCTGGCGTATAGAGTTTCACCCTTGCTTCTAAAAGGTTAGCCCATCTCACACAGGTTCTCATGTTTTCTAGTCTCATATATGATGCACATGGGATTGGGTTCTGCCAATGTCTGGGGACATACCAGTCTTTAATGAGCAATATCTGTTGTCTCCTGGCTTGCCACTATGCACTTATGGGTTGAAGCAGGGTCCCTTGTCTGACAGGACTGTCAACAAGATATTTTCAAAATGCTCGCTTTTAGTGCCTCATATGGCAACTGGGCTGCACCCTCCCCTTGGAGGCATGTTCATCCTAGTATGTAATGACCAGGTGTCTCATTGTTCTTATATACTGTACCTTATTTATATATTTCACATAATTATACAATCTAACTACCTTTAATGCTTATTTGCAATCATCTGACTTAGTTGCAGTGGTAAGGGGCGGAAGGTATCTGCACAAAAAAGTTACCTCTATGCCAATTACATTTGGTCCAGAATTTTCATTCTTGGAATCATTTTGAAGTTTATGAGGGCATTCAGGACAAGTTGATCTGTGGACTAACAGATCCGCTGATCAAATATGGCCGACCCACATTAAAGCAGAGCGGACTAATGCGCTGATGATCTCCCTGTCTCTGCATGCCCATTTCCTGCAGGGGCTTGCAGTTAAACATTGAAACCAAGATTTAATCTATTTAATGGCACATGTGGAGGCAGGGAGACCATATGCAGATTAGTTGGCTCTGCTTTTATGTGGGTCAGCCATATTTGATCCGCGGATCTGTTAGTCTGTAGAACAGCTTGTTCTAAATGCCCTCTATAACTACCAGCATTAAAGTACATAATACCAATGCAGAGCTGGTTTGTATTAATTTTTAAGTACATTGTCACTTTAGTTTTGTACCAGTGGGCCATGTTTAGGTACTTAATACTGTGTCCATCACATACGTTGTATATACTACTAGCGTAGCACTCCTTTTAGATTTCATAATTATACAAAACTTAAGTGGTTCCATTATTTCGCCCACATTTGCTCTAATGCAAATAGTCTTATTTTTTTGCTTTCATTGTAGGAGGGCCAGGTGATTGAGTTATCCCAGGTCAGTGATGTCCGTGCCAATGTTATTCCAAGAGTTGCTATAGTAAGTATGCTGGATAGATTTTTTCCCAAACAAATCAAAATGTCATTTTGATTGATATTTCCAGTTGTTTGAGCTCTTCTACAATGTAACTTTTATTTACCCTCACTCCAACATGGCTGAAATTGTCATTTTTGACATCTATTTGATTTTGTTTTGGATATATTTCAAAAGTGCAAGGTTACCATTTCACTTTAACTTCATATTCCTGTGACAAGGAAATTTACTTTTTATCACAGTTGGCAAAATGATTAAGGAGATCAGCAATATTTTTAAAATGGTAATTTTAGATTAGCAGTAGCAAAATTACAGAATTACTTACAAGGCATTTATCAGTTTTATTTTTAACTTCAGTGGAAAGACATTAAGTGCGTTACTTTTTGTCTCATGTCATTAAAAAATCAATATTTTGCATGTATTTTACCCCTTGAAAAATGCCTATTTTTATCTGTGATGCTATTTTAAGTAATGATTTGAGAAAATAAATGATTGTGTTTATTCAGATAGCAATTTAATTAAAGTAAGAGTAAGTGAGAGTTAATGCAATGACATTAATTTTCCAGGAATTCCCAACATTAATATCATTGCTGTTTGTGAAAAAAAAATTGTTTTTGTTCAGTGAACATTATTGTCATTATTACAAGTAAAAATCATGACTTTTTGTTCAATTTCAGGATAATACCAAAGTTTTATCAGATCTAGAATCCAAAGTTCCTGGGAACTTGGAAAACTGTTTTATAACCATATGCTCCGGGCTGGACCTGGTCAATATCAACTACACACATTTTGTAGCTCCTGACGCTGACACTGCTAGAGTGAGTTGTTTGCTTTAAATTATGTACAGACACAGATGTTTCTGTACATATAGCCGTCCACTGCGTCTGTCGTCGCCATCGTTGCCGTTGCCGTGCACTTTCAACGATAACACAATAAGTGAAAAACCATTCTACCTTTTGGCTTGAAACTTACAAAACTGATGAATATTCATAAAACACAAATTGAGTTTGAAAATCAGCATGATCGGGCCATTTTTTAAAAAGTTATGCTGTTTTTTCTCCTTTTTGAGCATATATGCAACACTGAGTAACACATTTCAAGGTCAACCGATAGGCCTATTGCCTTGCAACTCACAGGAGTGATCAATCTTACAAATATACAGATCAAGTTCAAAATAAGCTTGATTGGTTAAGTTTTGGTGAAATTGTCTTTTTTGTATATAATTGGTTTTTCCTTGGATTTAATTCTTAGAGATGTTAACAGTCTCATAATTAAACTAATTAGATATGTAAAAGTATTCTTTTGACATTTTCTACATCTAAACAATATTTTAAGTTGATTATATAAAAACGATGGTAAACCTGTTATTGTGTATTCTGTAATAAAGTGTCAGAAATGGAAATAAACTCATATCATTGCAGTTTGTCAGATTCAATCATTCACTATGTTCAGAATCTCAGAATAGAACAAATTGGACATTTAAAATGTTTATATTGGCATTTTTCGATGTGGGACTTAGCACTCCCATGGGCATGAAGTAACCAAATTTTCTAAATGTCCATGTTATGAATGGTAGATAATTAAAAATTGTTGGTAATTATAAAGGTAATTATTATGAAACATTGCTTCAAAATTGACAAAAACTTACTTCATGCATTACCACCACAAACATTATGAAAAGTAAACTTAGTTTCTTATTATTTTTTTTAACTTACTAGAATGCTTCTTAGGATTGACATACAGCTCAAATGAGAAAACCAGCTCTATTGGATTATCATTTTTCATTATTTTTATGCATTTTTTTTTTGTGAAATTTTCATTTTTCTCATTCTTGCATTTTCTAAGTGTGAACTTGAACTTTCATGGGCCTGAAGTCTTGGCTTTTACTTTTGTTGGTATGACCTGTTGTGCATAATTTAAATTTGATGCTGACTTTGCAGTTATGCATAATGTATCATTGCATCAGAATTGACAGTATCCCATTTTGTGCATTATTATTTTCTGCCTTTTGTCTGTACATTTGACAGCTTTGCTGCCTTGTTTTTTTCATTTGTTTTTCTTTTTGTTTTTTTTTATCTTTCTTCATTAGAGTTTAAGTGGAGTGTTGTTAAAATCCTCTTTTCCCTGTCATTCTATCCCAGTAGCATACAACTGCCCACGTTTTTTTAAGCTCCTTTTTAGCTGATTTTGCAAAAGTGAATGTTTTCCCTTGTGTATAAACACATCTACTAAAATCCAGCTCCTACACCAAACATCCATGCTCAACTGCATTCTCCTAGAAGGCTTTGTGTTTCTAACTTCAAAATAGATGAAATTGTCAGGAAAATTGAAGATAAAAAGAAGTATTGGTTGTTAATTTGTCTTATCCTGTTCAAATTTTTAAAGAATTGAAAAGTTTTAAAATGAAATTTGGTTTAAGCTGTGCATACGTACTCCACTTGAGTCTTGCAAAAAACTAAAAATTCTGGAAAATGTGACCTTCTTTTTGGTATTCCAAATTGCTTATTGCATTTAATATAATCTCTATTTTTGTATTGTACAGGAATGGATAGAAGCTTTACGCAAGATTACCCACAATCACAAGGCCAACAATGTGTGTCCCATGACATGTCTCAAGAAACAGTAAGTCAAACAGGGTTGCAGCAATTCAGTACTCAAAATGGATGATGATTTTGGATGATTTTGTGTTATTTGTTGAATTAATTCTTTTTCCTGATTTCTATGAACTGAGATATTCCTAAAATGCCTTTTTTTTTAATCTAATTAAGTGACTAATTTTACGTACATAAGTATCATATGTAAGTAATGTGGTCATTTTACACTTTTCAAACATATCCTTCCAGCTGGATGAAGCTTGGGTACATGGTGAATCCCAATGGGAAAATTCCTGTAAGAAGGTAGGTGGCGCTGTTGAGAAAAACCAAAGCTTGTTGTGGAATGAAGTTAAATAGTTTGTCACGAAGGAGGAAATGCTTTGGCACTTAAATATTTAACTTTTTCTCGTTCCATCTCCAATCCACCTCCCCTCCTACACACACTCCCCAAAGGTTCACACCTGTCCCTTTTTTTCACTTTGCTCTCCCTCTCTGTTCACACAATTATCCAGTGCTTAATGAAGTTGAATAGCATGTCATGAAGGATGAGTTTAATGCTTGTCACCAGCCGAGCGTCAGTCAACTGAATCGATGCTAAAGTGTCTCCAGGGTAGGCATCCAGGGTTGGTGTCACCGATGTCAATTACTGCTCACAGTGTTGTAAGAACTAAAATAAGGAGAAAGCTTAATGTTTTTTTTTATGTGAGTGTGTTTTGCGAGACTGTCCCACCAAGCTATTAGGAATGCAGGGGTATTTTTGTTTGTGAAGTAACCTTTTTCTTATGGATGTGTCATTTGTGTTTGCTGAACATCTAAGCTTTCAACTCAGAGAACCAAGAGAGAGAGATTTCGTGTGGTTGGAGAAGTCTGGTTTTCTGATTATATCAGGTTAGCCATCTCTCATGGTATTTTGAATGCAGGAATCCTTTTAAGTTTACAACCGAGGGAGTTTGCGGTTTGGTTGGGAGGGTCTGGGCTTCTGTTAAAATTGCGTCAGACATCTGTCATATACTATTGCAAGTACATTTATGAAATATTTTTTTATGGATGAATATGTGTTGCCAATGCATACAACACACACTGTAACAGGAGAGAGGGTTTCCAGTATTCCAGTGTTCCAAAGTAAATTCAGAAATCCAATTTCCCATTTTGCACTATAGATGCACATATCTAAGAGAAATGTTAATTGAATCCGCCTGTGGTATAAATGTCTTATAATCATAGTGCACATTTTTGCCTCTTTTTATTCCATTCGAACGAGAAGGAAAAGAGCAAAAGAAGATAAGAAACACCACCATAGTTTTAGATTAAAATTGTTAAGGTTGTCAACCAATTTTGCTTTAAATGTTAATAGGGGAAATTTATAGTGAAGCATCATTCCTTCAACTGATGTTCTAAGAAATAATTATTCGAATATACAATTAATAGATTTTAGTATAGTACATTTGAACAGAAGTTATTTTGAACATTTTATTACTTCAAGAATTATCAAATTACTCAGGTTGTCAATAAAAATAGATTTCCATTTGACACCCAACATCCTCTTCAAACTTTTTTAATAATCTTTTTAGGGTATTATGGAAAAATGTCTATTAGCTTAAGGAAATAATAAATTTACTTTGGATGTATTGAGTAATTGAGGATGGCTTGTTTTACTCATCAGAGATAAAACTCCACCTGGATGTTCTGTGACTTTTGTTTGCAGTGTAAGTTACTGCTTACCAAATTATCAAATGTCCTCCAGGTTTACATCATTACATTTCAGCATCCAAGTATAGAAAGTGATGAAATTAGGGTCTAGGGACCACATTCAGAAAGGTCTCTTTGTTTTTAATGCTGAATCTCTATTTTAAATGCACAGGTGTCTCTCTGAAGAGCTACAGTTTTAATATTTGTGATCAATTTTTGTCTGATTTTTTTCTTCCAGTAACGCATTAAGTATGCTGTCACATAGGCAGAAACAGTAATGATAGCATTTTGAGTGATGAAATTTGATTATTTATGCTTTTCAACTGAGGGACAATGTGCATTGAAAGTCCTTGTCTTTTGAACAGATAGATTATGCTTTTGTAAGAAAACTCAGTGAGTATACTGTTTCTTTCTTTATTTTTTTCTATGGAATCTTTTTTTTTTTTTTTTTTTGACAGATGGTGCTTTGTTTGAATACTAAAAAAATGATGGGTTATATGCTTGAGTACTCGTTAATAGAAGACCTTCACTTCGTTTGTTATAAAGGTGTATTGTCAACAGATCTAAATCAAATTAGATCTTATTTTATATCTATAGAATATTTATTTTGAAATGTACACAGGACTCATCTGGTGAAAATGTACAGATCTAAGTAATTCATGTATAATGGTAAATCAATATGAGAAAAGCTATTATATTAGGTATTACTAGAAGACACACAGACTACCTTTAATTTGTGGACAATCAAGAGAAGGCATCCTCAATTCATTATGTCGGCTGCAGCTCAGTGTTTGTTATTTTTGAAAGGTACACATTAAATTGCTAGAGGTACAATTAAAGGTTTTTCAGTGGATTCCATGATGGAAAGAAATATATTAATTTTTGTTAAGTTTGGGAAGCATTCATTATGCTGTCTGGCGAACTGAATGTCTACTGTCTTTCTATGCTGTGTGCATGTTTTAAGAAAGTGTGATTTCTTTTCTACTCTCCCAGTACTTGAAACATCTATTGCAGCTCTTTTTATTTCTGGTTTTGGATTCTTCTACCATTTTCTATTCTGAAGCTTTGGGAGCTCAGTTGAAAATCTTATTAGAACAGTTCACCCTTCAATAGAAATCATCCAAATGAAGTTGCCAGCACATGAACAAATCACATACTGACTTCAAATCCCAAGTTCAACAATACTAACATGTCTGGCAATGTTATTTGGGTTCTTTTCAATTTAACAGTTTCTTTATTTATTCCCTTCACACTAGCTAGCCTATACAATTAGTACACTTTTCTATTTTAGGCTAGTATGTAGTCACCCAGGTTTTCTATTTTAGGCTAGTATACAGCCATCCGTCTGTTGGGCTTTTTTCTCCTTAAACCAATGCTGTTGTCTCCATAAACCAGAAACTTGCCAAAAGATGGCACCACTGCCAAAAGATGGCACCACTAGGTGGCTCTCATCATTTGCCCTGTGGATGGTGTTAACTCTTGGACATGACAGTTATCCCATATCTTTTGATTCCTTAATCATTTTCCCAAAAATAGTTATTGTAGTAATACTTAATAAAAGCTGATTCTAGAATTTTGGAAAGTTGGTTGGTTTTATATTCATAGCAGAAAGTGAATTGTTGTGAATATTTGAAAATGTTAACTAGTAAAAATTAAATTGTTAGAGGAAGTTTATTTGAAATTTTTATATATTTACTGTAAATTTACCTGAGAGCAGCCCTCTAAATCAAGTATTCATTTGTTGCTATTGATACATTACTTGTATAACAAGACTATGGCTTCTCTGATGTCTTTTCAAACTGTTACGTTGTTGCAGTTGTTTCCTGCATACTCTTATGGCATATCAGGAAGCATGAAATAATCTATATCAAGAAATTCACAATTTTGTCAGAAACCAATACCTCAGTGGCTGTCCTATTGAGCATTTAACATTGGGTGAAATGGCCGAAATTTCATGTTGATTAAATTGGTGAAAAAATGAATCGGTTATTTAAAAATAAGGCAAAAACTGGTTTCACTCGTTACACTTGATTTCCATAGCAGTGAAACACCTTTCTCGAAAGAAAACTCTTCAGAAAGCAAAATGCAATAATCATAAGTGGATCTATTCCCAGAGTGGTTAATTCAACAGAATGGCCTTTGTAAGATACATATTGTTTCAGAACAATACATACATAATGATGAATTTTTGATGACATATCTATATCAATATTGTGAAATAAGTAACATTTCATTATCAATTAGAAAAGGCTGTCACTGCATTTGATTTTTCAAGGCATCACCTTGTGATATATGTTATTTATTCCAAAAATATTGAAAATTTGTATTTTTCTTTTAGCATCACCAGGACTTTTGCCTCTGGTCGTACCGAGAGGTTAATTATGCAGTCATTGAAGGACCTGGGGTTTCCTAGTGGCAAGGTGAGTGGCAGTTGGACACACCCATTGACAGTGACAAGTACAACATGAGTCTTATGGTTGACAGGTGTTTAATAATGAATAACAGACATTGCCCATAATCTCAATCAAAGTTGTTCACTTAAAATTTTATTGAATTGAAAATTGAAATTCAATATTTTGTTTTTTCATTCATGTTGTTGCATTTTGCTGAATCTTTTATAAAAACTATTAAAAATCCATAGCTTTTCATAGATTTTAAAGATAATATTTGTTAACTAAACCATGACTTTGATTGATGTTTGACTGATAACTAAACCATGACTTTGATTGATACTTTTCCAGATTGATGAAATAGAAACATCCCAGTTTACCTTTGAAAAATTCTATGAGCTTTATCATAAGATCTGCCCTAGGACAGATATTGAGGAGTTATTCAAAGAAGTGTAAGTTCACTTACATCCCCTTGCACTATCTTTTAATGAAAGTAGTCAATCTTCATTTTTTTTATTATAATTCTTTTTGTTTTATGAGTCATGCAGGGACTTAAATTATTAATACACAAGCAACTAAGATAAACTGTGGTTCATGCAAGGAGAAAATTAATGACAATTTACAACCAGTATTCTGTTGATGACTACATATATGTATGTCTCCTATTCAGATATTTGAATATATCTTTAATTTCTTAATGCTACAAACATATTTATTATAGTTCAAAAGGAGGTGATCATCTGACCATGATACAACTGATAGAATTTCTTAATGAGGTAAGTTTCCTCTGAGCGTCATCAAAATGTGTTAAACAGTATGTCAAGTGCAAGTGCCCCCCCCCCTAAAAAAAAAAGTAAAAAAAAGTAATAAATGAATAGAATAATCTATAAATAGATAACATAATTTGAAGACTGCCTCTCCTGCCATTTTCATATTAAGTTGTTTTCACTTTGGGATAAATATTTATTATTCTTACAAATATGATATTTACATATATTATGAGTCTGAGATGTGCAGATGTAATACAGGGAACATAGAGGCAATATTGCAATTAAAAGCTATATCATTGTATCACATGCCAAGGGGGGGAAAAGAGGGAACTGACTTTGAATATTTGAACATTTAAGTTGAAATTTGTATATCGAAATATTTTGATAAAAGAGAAGTGTAAATTAATAATCTTACTAAAATAACAACCACAGGGTCTTGAAACTATGTAAAGGGTAGGTATTTCATAAAATGATGAAATTGCAATAGAATATCATTAAGGGCATCTTTTATATGATTATAAAAGACCCTGTATGATTATTTTTTAAACATGACCCCACAAAGACAGACGAAGCTGATTATATTCAATTTGACTGTGCCTTAGCAAGAATCCCTGCTGAGATAGACCAGTCCTGTTAGTTTGATAACTTCTATTCTGAACACAGCCTAAGACTAACTTTCATTCGACACTGTTTTGTAAAACACAACTTGTCTTGGCTATAGGTCAATAGTCTAGTAACAGGTGACTAGAATTGAGACATTAATTTTTTTTTTTTTTTTTTTTTTTAGATAGAGTCAAATAAGATAGATCTGTGACCCTTTACCTAACTTATTTCAAAGTTGTTGCAAAGTTCTGAAAATAACATAGAATTACCTGTGAACTTGATTAATGCCCTGGAAATTATAAAGCTTCTAGTCCAAACTGCCTAGATAAAGGTATCATGTCTCTCAGTTCAGGGGTGATTTATTAGTGCAAGTTAATATGAATGCAGATGTCTATTGATTTTTAAAGATTGCTCTCCTCACATAAAACAAGAGAACTAAGTGTTATTAAACTGTCAGATGTCATGTTTCATTGTGGGAATTATTGGATTTTCAATACAAGATTACCTCTCTGTGTATTTCTTGTTTAACAAAAGTTATTTTTTACATCTATTATGATAACATTATCATAGATGTTTGAATATTTTATTTTCAGAGGCAGCGGGATCCAAGGCTCAATGAAATTTTATTCCCATTTTTTGAAAGAAAGCGGGTATCCCAAATTATAGAAAATTATGAAATCAATGAAGACTTTAAGAAGAAAGGTATGGTATGGTAATCCCTGTGAAAACCAAAAAAGATGTCTCTTGGAGATTGATGCGACAAAAAAAAAAAAAAAGTTGATTTATTCTAATTTTAATCAACATTTCTTATTAAAATTGCATTATGAAAGAAATGGTTGTCAGTGTCATTCTCATTTAGCTTTGATGAATTACTTTTTGAACAATTAATAAGCAATTTTATCTTCGAAAACAAGAATTGATATCTAAATCAGTCTTAACAGAAACATCAAATGGCTCAGTGCTTCCATAACATGTTACACACATTTATCCCACATAATTCCAGAATGGCTAAGTGTTGATGGCTTCTGTCGCTACCTCATGTCAGATGAGAATGCCCCGGTATTTCTTGACCGCTTGGACATTCATCAGGAGATGGACAAGCCACTGTCCCATTACTATATCAATTCCTCACATAACACATACCTGGTGGGTAGGCAGTTGGGTGGGCGGTCTTCAGTGGAGATGTACAGACAGGTGTTACTATCAGGCTGTAGGTAAGCTGATTCGGATAATAATAATAATAGTAATAATAATAATGGTAATAATAATTATGTCCATGGAGTTTGAAATGGTACCATGCATTGATACAATTGCTGGCTCCTTCCAGAACACTTGGCATAAGGTAATAGTAATGATGATGATTTTAATTAATAGTATTATAGTTGTAGTAATATTTAGAGTGTTAATGTGGCAGACTACATATGTTCCATTGCATTCATGATAAGGTGTGTAGAACTTGACTGCTGGGATGGGAAAGGAGAAGATGCGGAGCCCATCATTACCCACGGCAAGGCCATGTGTACAGACATCTTATTTAAAGTAAGGGGTACTGTGAAATAAAACTCTGTGTGTAAATGCAGACATTAATTTAAAATAAGGCGCATTTTGAAATAAAAATGGGCTGTGTTAATTTTTTTTTAATAATACAAGTTTATTATTTACTTGGAAACATCCCAATATTTTGAGAATGAATTATATATATATATATATATATATATATATATATATATATATTTTTTTTTTTTTTTTTTTTTTTTTTTTTTTTTTTTTTTTTTTTAAAAAAAANATGAACTTAACTTTGATTGTACCATTTTTAGTTATATATATATTTTTTGCATATTTTGAAAATTCTTGTTGACTGAATTTTTACAGCTTGGCAAGCACAAGACTGGTGGCTGTGTTCCTTATTTTGTATATGTGGGGGTCTATACGAATGCGCTTGCTCCAGCTGGTGGTACAATATTCGGAGGCGGTATCGCCTCTCTGATCCTCTAGTTAATAGGGAAGTTTGCCTCTTTGCAACCCCACAATTTGAAATGTGTGCACTATTAGTTTGGAATTATAATTTAAATGTAGATACTTCTGGCGCACACTAAGTTTATATCATCTATCAACATTATTCAATGTTTATTAATAATACGCTTTATTTCTTTTTATTAATGGGACTTCCAATAAAAGCGGCCATCATCAGCCAAATTTCAAACATCACACTTGAGTTTGTTCCATTCCTTTTGAGGGCAGATCCTATTTCTTACATCAGTTTAGATCAAGGAGACATAAAGTATAGTTGTAGTAATATTAATATTAATGTTGCAGACTACATATGTTCCATTGCATTCATGATCAGGTGTGTAGAACTTGACTGCTGGGATGGGAAAGGAGAAGATGCGGAGCCCATCATCACCCACGGCAAGGCCATGTGTACAGACATCTTATTTAAAGTAAGGGGTATTGTGAAATAAAGTTGTAAGTAAATGCAGACATTAATTTAAAATAAGGCACATTTTGAAGTAAAAATGGGCTGTGTTAATTTTTTTTTTTAATAATACAAGTTTATGATTTACTTGGAAACATCCCAATATTTTGAGAATGAATACAATATAAACTTTTTTATATATATTTTACACAAAGCATATTATGAAAATGTTACATTGAATAATATCTCATTTTCTTTACAGGACGTAATATATGCCATTCGTGACACGGCGTTTGTCACATCTGATTTTCCTGTGATACTTTCCTTTGAAAACCACTGTAGGTGGGTGAAACTCTATAACAGTGAAATGCCTTTTAAGTATTTTACTCAAGGGAAATTTTCCCTTGCCTTACAAGTATCATCTTGCCTGTAAGTTTATCAAAATTTGTTTTGAATTTGAGCTATTTGATATAGTTTAGGGTAATGAAGTAACTGTAAAAGCATGTTTGATGATTCATGTAATGAAAAAGCATTTTAAAAAAATTTATTTTACCGTCATTTTTTGCAGTAAGCGTCAGCAGTATAAGCTGGCTAAATACTGTGAGGATATACTTGGGGAAATGCTACTAAAACAGCCATTAGAAGATGTGCCTGTAAGTAGAACACGGCTGCCTCAAAGTGGAAGGTTCAGTAAGAGAATCTGTTCTTTAATTTTTAAAATGTGTTTTATGTATAGACACAGTACTTGGCCTTGATTATTTCATTTTCTTATTTTTATTTATTTTTTTTTTTTATTTATTGACATTAGAGCAGTTCTGTCTCAGACTACTTACTGTATTGACATGTATTTCATTTACACTGCACATACAAGGATATCTTCCATTTTTTTCTTTGTTAAACTGTTATATTTACATGAATGAATTCCAAATATAGATCTCATGCGAAGAGTTGTTATCCTTTTAACTATTTTCCAGCTGGAACCGGGTGTTCCCCTTCCATCTCCCAGCCAGCTGAAGTTCAAAATACTCATCAAGAACAAGAGATTAAAACTGGAAGTGGAAAAAAGTATGAAGTTCCTAATGGAACTCAGAACAGTTATAGAAATCTCCATCTGCCCCATTACAATTATGTTTGTGTTTGTCAAACTTGAGCTTTTTTCTGTGCTAAATTGGAACTTCATGATTTTCAATTAAATTCTGATGGGTTCTGAGATTAGTTTTATCTAGATCTGCAATAGAATAAAATAAAATGGTCATGCCTAGTTTGTTTCTAAGTGTTGAACCATTAAGTATATGATTACTTATCACAACATTTTTTACAAGTCCACATTCTTAATATGCTGTGACATTCAATTTCAGCTCCAACTTTTCATACTGCAACATCATGTTTTTTTTTTCTGAAATTGTATTATATTCAGTAAACTTATACAGAAATCTGATAAATCAATATATTCCTACTTCAGAACATCTGGAGCTCTTCTACAGAGGCAAGGAATCGGCCATTATTGAAGAAAATGACCCAAGTGAGGATGCAGATTCTCTTGCTGATCCTCTTGTAGATGGAGTGATGCTCCCTCTAGCATTGGAAAATGAGGACAATGGTAAGACTCTGCGCTCTTGGTTTATTCACATCAGGTATTATTCAGAACAGCTCGGGACTATTTTGGAACTTGTTATTATGCATTTTCGCTGTGTAATGTTGAAAGTATAAGGTTGCCAACTGTAGTCTGTCAAATTGCTTCATTTTCAAACATTACTCTACTTTCAACAACTTAGATACATAAGAACAGAAAATATCATTTTGGCAACCTTGAACTTTCTGATCTGTGGGTTTACAGGACGGACAACCTTTTATCAATCTAACAAAGGCTGACCACATGCTGGGAACCTATTGGATAGTAGTGTGTCCAAAGTGTAAATGCATTTGACAAAGTTTGAGTTTGTTCAGAATCGCTCCAAGTCATGTCAAGTGTGAACAGACTCCATCANGGGGGGGGGGGGGGGGCACCTGGGGCCGTTGCAGTAGATTTTGTTCTTTGGTTTTATAGACCGTTTCCATCGTAATCACTGCGTCATGGAAAGCAACAGTGGTAAGAAATAACTTGTAACTTTGTGCAAAAGCAACCTTCAAGAATTTTAGGCCAAAGCATTAAATTCGAACTTATTTATTTTTATTAAGATTGAATAAAATGATATACTAGTTTATGGGTATGTAATTTTTAAAAAATACCACTTCTATGAGAGGAAGAGACTCGTTCTAACATTACGTCGCTTGGTAAGTGGAGGTAGGTTTGATCACACTGACTGCCTGCACTTATCAAGTTGGGCACATGCAAAATATGTGTGTGTGTGTGTGTGTGTGTGTGTGTGTGTGTGTGTGTGTGTGTTTATTCCAAAAAGTCTAACATTTGGATGAAAAAGTCTCTTGTGTTTCAGATGCTCCAAGAAAGAAGGCACCTCAGGTCCAAGATGAAACAGTGCGAGATGAGAAAGGTAGACGCCGTTTCCATGGAGCTTTCACAGGAGGCTTCTCTGCTGGTTACTTCAATACCGTGGGCAGTAAAGAAGGTGAGGTTCAGTGGGATGTATGTATTAAGGCAAAAGTTACATTTAATACAACCATGTACTGTAGATATACCACAATGTTCAATGAAAAATGTTCGAGATGGATTGGGGCTGCGTTTTTTGTCTGCAAGAGCATATATTATATAAGTTTTGACTTTTAAGGATATTATATTATTAAAGAAAATGTTATATTCAAAGAAATTCATAAGGGTTTTATGCATTGTTGGATGAAGGGGGTTATTTTCTTCTTTGTCCCCTCCCTGACCTTTAATCTAGTTCTATACATTAATAACTTAAAATTTTCACACATCTTGCATTCATGTATCATATTTTGTCCTTTTTAAAAATTAAGCAGTTTAAGTCATTAACACTGATATATTTACAGACAGGGAGCCAACAAACTTACCAAAACTTTTGTATTACTGAAAAACTTCTTTAAATTTATTGAGTAATTATAAACTTTACAGTATACATTATACATTACTCATGTACCATATCCATATGTGAGTACGATATTTTGAGAGTATGAATGATAAGATTAAGTACTGTTGTATCATTTTGTAGGATGGACACCGTCTTCATTTGTTTCATCAAGAACTAACAAAGCAGAGACCCAGGGACAAAAACCTGAAGATTATATGGATGCAGAGGTATGTATGGGCATTTAATTATACACCATATTTTTTCAAATTGGATCATAATGTATATATGATACTGAAGTAAATTACTATTATGTAAGCATTGAATTGGTTAAAAGAATGCATGTTTAACACTTACTGTAATGTGATAATATGGTCAGAAGGATTTTTTGTCTTACTAGTTATCAAATGACTTGTGTGATAGTAATTCACTATCTTTGTCTCAAAATTTTTTTAAAGGCTGAAAATTTATTCAATCTGATTTGGCAGAAAAGCATGGACCACACTTTAACACAAAAAGACAGTAATCATCTGGTGATTTATTTGTGAAAAAAATCAGTCTTTTAACTGAACTACTTTAGGACCTTGGGGAATTTGGTATAGCGCCTCGCAAGCTGAAGACTGCAGACAACTTCACCTCCGAGCAAGCCCAGAAGAAGCATGCGGCTGAGAGACTGGAACTTGCAGGTGTCTTCTTTACCCAGCCAGTATTACAAGACCTTATCATACCATCACAGTGAGCATTTTTTTCCATGTTTTTAATGTCTCCTCTTGTAATAGTAGCATGATAAAAATTCACAATGTAAATCATTTACTTAATTTTAATTAGAATTAAAAATTTGTTTTCTACCTCAGGTCTGACATTTCAGCCCTTTCATTGACAATGTGTAACAGTGAATTTTTTTTCAATGTTGAAAATTCATGAAAATAAATGTGTCAAATTATCATTCTGTCAAGACTATAGCATTGGAAATTACGGTCTGAGGGGCCTACTGAAATATTTCCCATAGTTGTAACACCTATTTACCCTGTAAAAAGTTTAGTGTTTTTAAACTTCGTGAATAAGAAAGAAACAGAATGAATCAGTTTGAATTATTTGTCTTGTCCAGGTTACCCATGGGTGTGCGTCTGCTGAGGAAGATGGGATGGAAGGAAGGACAAGGTGTGGGCCCCAGGGTGAAGAGAAAAGCCAAAAAACAGGCAATAGGTATGTTTGTAGACCTCTTGAAAACTAGTACTTTTTTCATTAGGATTTTTTTAAAACTTAAGTACATAAGTCATTTGTGATGTAGTAATATTAAGAGTCATGACAATTTTTTCAATGCGTCTTTTTATAAATTTGTTTGATGGAAAATGTGCGGGTTTATGTGTCCTCTTTCAGCTGTCAGGAAATGTTAATTAATTTGAGTTTCAAGGTGTTTTCAGTGTTTGAATTCTTTCTTAATTGACCAAGAGATATGCAATAAAAACTGTTGTTTTGTGTTTTTCGTAATTCTTAGCACAAGAAGGCAAAGTATATGGCTGCTCTCTGCCTCCAGATCAAAATTCTGATGTAAGTGTATAAGCTTATTAAATTTACAACTTTATGGATTTTTTCAATTTTTAGCTTTGGCCAGTGCAATTAGAATAGCTTTTTACGTAAAATGCTTGATAATATGAAATGATGTGTTTGGATTTTTGATGAAATGTATAATGATAGACACATTTTCTGTCAGTGTCTATCAGCAACTGGAACAATTTGAATACCTTTAAAGGTTCAATTTCATCAACTGGGAAAACTAACTTCTTTATAATTCCAGGATTCTGACTATGATGAATATGCAGCTGGATTGACCTTTGCCCCAAAAGATGTCACCCCAATCAGATTTGAAGCCAAAGATAACCAGCATGGTCTGGGGTACAGTGGTCTCAATCCAAAAGCTGCTTTACACTCTGGCCATATCAACTTGTTTAAGCCCTCTCCCATAGGTGGCAGCACTGTATCTGGTAGCAAGAGGGGCATCCGAGGAAAGGTTAGTAATGGAGTAGATACATTCAGGCATGCTACAGACATGATAATAACTGCGGGTTCAAGTATCTGCAGAAATCAAGAGATCATGGACCCTTCCAGTATTTTGCAGGCCCAGATATTTTTTCAAAATGTCATTTTTACAAATTCGTGAAATTTCTACCCCATGTAGGCATTGTACTTTCCTTTTCCAAAAATTAGTCGCAATAACTATAGGTCAGTTCTGATCACTGAAAAAGTATGTACGAATCAGTGGTGAGTTGGAAATAATTATTGACCCGTTAATGATCCTATTTCATTTATACTGGTGACCTGACATGACTTTAGTTTACTATTATATTGGAAGCTGGCAACATTTGCCCAGAGTGATGCCAATTGGACATTTATTTTTAATTCTAATTATTTATTTTAATGCCATGAAATTATTACAGGCATTTGGAGTGGGTGCTTTAGAAGATGATGATGAAGATATATATGGTATGGATTCCATGGCAAACTATGATAGAGAACTAACAGCTGAATCAGACCACAATTTTGGATGGACTGCACCAAAACGTACATCTAGGTTTTCAGAAGGTAGTCTTTGTCTTCTATTTAGTTATTTTTGCCAAGTTTGTTAATTGTGTGTGGTTAGATATCAGCATATTATGTTTAATGTGTAAAACCCAGACATAGCAGAAGATTTGATAAATGCAGGAGTCATTCTCTTTCTCTCTCTCTCTCTCTCTCATGTATGTGCACAAACACTTGTACACATCCATGTTGTATATGCTTTGAAGGTTTTTGCTGCTTATCAACATTATAAAGATTTGATTTTATTTTAGCAAACTTTTTACTTACATAATATGTACTTCAGGTCTGCCCGCTGCAATAACAGAGGGTCCCAGTCATGTAACCAGAATATTGGAGGGTTTCACAATAGCCTCCAAACCTCTTCAACCAAAGAAATGCTTTCCACCTCCCCACATTCCCAGGGGTTATAAACCCTTCCATACGTTCCTGAAACCCAAGGAATCGTCATCTGCCAGTTCCTCAGGAAAATCTTTAGATGCTGGTGCGAGGGGAGCAATTTTAGGAGAAACGCCTGTGATAGGTATGTATAATTGTATAATCAGATTTAAAGGGGAATGTGAAATTTTATGATGAAAGAGCAATGGTATACCACAAAATAAATCTCTGGTAGTGATACAACTCATCTCTCTTTGTGTTTGTGTGTTTGTGTGTGCATGCTTCTTTTTTTACCAGAGAAAAAAACAAGGTTTTCATTATTTACAAAGATTTGTAAGAAACATGAATTAGCCAAAGTAAAATATCCTCAAATTTGTTTTAAACTAAACATGTTAAGATAAACCTGTATGATCATGAAACACCTGTCTTTCCCTTCAGGATCAGTGTTTGAATTGGTCAACTCAGAAGGAAAAGCTAAACTGGAAGCTGCCAAGATGAGTTCAACAACATCATCTGCTTCCTCAACATCATCAGTAACAACATCTTCAACCTCGTCATCTGGAACATCGTGGGAAAAGGTTCAGGGTCCATTTGAAGTTAAACAGCCACTGCTAAAGACACCACTGTTTCAGGGAAACACAAGTTCTTTTAAACCCTTTGTGAAAGATCCAGCAAAGCAGGAGAGATATGAGAAGTATTTGGAGCTGAAGAAGCAAGGGGCAGTAGGTGAGGCAACAATTACCCATGCAGATAAATGCTTTGTCTGACCTAACACACTGTCATTTTCAACACACTGTCACACTTTTAAAATTTTTGCAAAATGCAAAACCTGTACAATTAAACACTTAAACTTAAATGGCAATTTAACCTTTCTTGTCACCCCTAACACACTGTCCCCTCAAACACGTTGTCACACTTTTGAAAAAAATTGCAAAATACTAAACACAGCCATGCATTTAAAGCTTACACGTGAATGGCAATTCAAACTTTTCATGACTATAATTCCAGACTGCTATAAAACTGTGTCTCTGCCTCACATGACAGAGTGGGATATGGAGAGAGAGGAGGAAGAATTCAAGAGGGCAGCACAGCTGTTCAAACCCCTTAGCAGTCTCATGGCCTCCAGGTTTACGCGGGCCAAATTTGAAGACCACCATGACGAGGTTGAGGTGCCCCCTGATGACAGCGTGAGTTTCTTTTTCCTCTGTCAACAAAGGAGATCGATGTTTACATCCTGCATGTTTGAAGATTTGAAAAATCAGGAAGTTCCTCACTCATTTTTATGTGATTTTCAGGATAGTCATTTATTCAGTAGAGGTGATTATATCATGAAGATCTTATGATTTTTAAGTTGTAAAGCCCCAATCAATTTTCTTATATATTAATGTCTTTTTATATTAAATGTTTAACTAAAGAAGATTTTATTCTATATTTTTATATTTCTTTAGAGTTGTGATTTCAGTCTCTGATTTTCATTTCTGCTAGGTACAATCAAGCTGGTAAAGTCACAACTAGCATAATCCCACCTAACACATTTAACTCAGTTTTATTTCTAGATTCCAGTCATTGACCAGGCAGATGCACCCACAAGTCAGCTTTATGACGCAGTTCATCTTTTTTTAAAACAAACAATATTTTCTAAAGTGTCAAAGCTCTTATAACATAACATTTCAAAAGTCTATTAAATACCTTTATTTAATCTCATGTTGTATTTAAGAAAGAAAGTTTCATTTTGTATACCTGGTACATCCATAGAATACCTTTAACATGATGACTATTTCATACAGCCTTTTTCTCTCAGTATTCTAAGGTTAGTTTGTATTGCAGACACCGGTCAGCGACCAGGCCAAAGCTGCCCAGATGAAGATGTTTGGAAAACTGACCAGGGAGAGGTTTGAGTGGCACCCAGATAGACTGGTGTGTCGGAGGTTTAATGTGCCTGATCCTTATCCTGGGTGAGTGTGATTGTTTCCCATTAATTATAGAGGTTATTAAGCCCTTTGTTGATGCGCTAAACAAATATGAATGAATCAGATGTTTTGACCACTTGAAATATATAAGAAAATCCATTCAGCTTAGCCTTTGTAAAGTGTCTTTACAATGTTAATTTAAAAGTAACTGTCCTTTTTAGAAAAGAACGCAGTTATATTTAATTTGCCTCATTAAAATGATGATACACTTTCATAATGAAATACCTTTTTTTACTTTAAATTTTTCAATACACAGGTCCACTATTGTTGGAGTTCCAACTGTCAAAAAGGACAAGTTTTCTGTGTACAACTTCTTAAGTGTTCCAGTGGAGGAGAGAGCACCCAGTCCTCCTAAAGCCATCACTGCTGGAGGTAGAGATAAAATGGAATTAATAATTCATGGGGAATCGGGGTTCTTTTGATTAGATTTGTGTCTAAATATATAATAAGGAATGTCTCATGAATTTGTGGCATTTTTTCCATTTACACCAAACAGTGTTTCTAACTAAAAGTCAGACAGATTGCTTGGTGGTTTTTTAATTATGTAGGTCAGATAGGGTAAAGATTATCAAGTCATTTTGAGAATTGTTAAAATATGAGGATTTTTGTTGTTTTATTTTCAAATATAGTATCCTTTTATTTAATTAATTATATACTACTTTGAATCTTGATGTAATAATGAATGAATCAGACAGTTTTAGCATTATTGAAATTAAGAAATGCATACAATTTAACCTTTGAAGTTGACTATGCATTAAAAAAAGGTGTTTCTGAACTCATTATATTGTATTCAGCACTTACGTAGATAAAAAAAAACCTATTCCAGATGAATCTGAACAACCAAGAATGCCAAAGAGTATATTTGATGCACCAGTTTATAAACGTAGTGTGCTTCGTAACCGTGCCGAGAAGAGCAAAACAGAGAGTACAGTGAATAAGGAGACAAAGTCCACATCAGATGTAAACGATCTTGTGAGTTACTGACTGTGACATCATTTTCATTAAGGTCAAAACTTAAAAGTTTCTGACTCATTGGTCAGTCATCCCTTTTCTACTCGGAAAGACGCTAATTCATGCAAGTTAAAATATTAAAATGAAAAATATTAAGTTTTTAAAATAAACTTTTAACTATGAGATAAATATTTTCAACTAGACTGTATAACTTTTTTCCCCAATCTTTAGTTGTCCTCAGTGAAGGAGAGTGAAGTCACGGTGGAAGGTCGCCCTCCCATGGACCTGTTCAAGGCAATTTTCCAAGATTCAGAATCTAGCAGTTCGTCATCATCAGAGGAAGAGGAGGAGGAAGAAAAACAGGAAGAGAAAAGCAGTAATAAGCAGTCCCTCATAGACCAACCAGTCATGGTGCCAACCCAACAGGAACATACCGCAGGTAGAGTTTTTTTTTCTTTGCAAAAGGAAAACATGTGTAATTATTACATTTTTAAGATTCTGACATAGTGGAGATGGAGGTTAGTGAATTTTGCTTGTGAAAACATTTGCCTCATTGTTTTGGGATGGAAGAATACCTTCATGCAGGTGATGGAAAATTGCTAAGATTTTCAGGATGCTTTATTTTCTTCGGTATAAAGGATGTGCGAGCATAGTTACATTCTCCTTTAATTGCATGAAAAGCAGAAAAAGCAGATGGCAACTCCACCATACCAGTTGAGAGCTTACAACAAAGGTTGTCACCCCCTCCAGCCATACAGACTAAAAATGGTACCAAGGATGAGGATGAGGAAATGGAAGCATTTGGGCCAGCTTTACCTCCACCATCAGCACCAGGAGAAAGTGAGTGAACAAGGAAAATGGGGAAACAACTTTTTAAGACTTTATATTTGTATGGACACCAGGATTTATAATTATTTTCAAAACAGTCTATTTTATTTAGTTAAATGGAATTATGTGGAGGAGAACTATTTTAAGAACATCAACATTCTGTGTCAGTTTTCCATGGTCTCTTTTAAAAGCAGTGATCCAGTTTTACAACAGCATTTATTAATTAAGGCTCAAAAGATTCTTGACCATGCTGTTTGTCTCCTCTTGGTTTGCACCACCCCACCCCATCCAAACTGCAAACTCAACAGTCTGTGGTGTCAGGACTTTCCAAATGACAGTAAAATTGAAGAGGGACCAGCAAAATTCTACAATTTTTTTTTTCAATTATTGGGCCACATTGCTTCTTGAGTCTGCGGAATTTTAACTACAATGTCCTGAAAACAATCTTTAAACACAGTCTGAGTAGACATTATTTTTCTCCTGCAGGTCCATCGGCAACCCCAGGCTTCCCAAGTCACGTGTTTATTTCAGCATCTGAAAGAGGGGTGCACAGGAAACTGAAACATGCTCACAGGTCAAAAGAAAGTGACAGAAGTAAAAAGAAGAAAAAGAAAAAGGAAAAGAAGGTTAAGATGAGGATGTTTTCTGTTTTGTAGCTTCTGTAGATAAATCATTTTTTTGTTGTTGTTATTGAATTAATTTTGATAAACAGTGAAAAGATTTCACCTTATTTTATGCAATGAAAAAAGTATAAGATATAATCAAAGTACAAACCAATTATAAATCGAGAACTTAAAATAAAAATTTGAGATGATTGAAGATTATAAATAGTATCCATTGTGATATATCTTGTGTTATACAGGCCAAGTATAAGAAGAGCAAGCACAAACACAAAAGTTCCAAAAAGAAAAAGAAGTCGAAGACGTCAACTCCTTCCAGCTCAGAAGACAGCAATGGCGGCTCTGACAGTTCTGAAGACGAAAGCAAAGACCAGATACCTACTGATGCTGAGATTTTAGAGAGGTGGGCTGCTTTGCTTTCTTTTATTTCTTTTTCTTTTTTATTCCGTGCCTCTGTGGTGAAAGCAGAGATGAAATTGGTTCCTTTCCATCTGTCAAGTACAAGGATTTGAGAAAATGCAGAGCTAGAACAACCAAACTTTGAACACAGAAACCTCTTCCTTGGTTTAAGTTTTTTTTTATAAAGGTGCTTTTCACCATCATTAACAGTAATCAGAATGCATTCTTTTCTCAAAGATCAAAAAAGATATATGGATTAAGCAATTGAATTAAATTTGTTTCTTTCTTTTAGGCTGAAAGGACAGAGAATGAGGGCTGCAGATTTCATGTAAATACTTTGTTGACTGCGATGATGATGATGATAATGGCAACGATGTCCGATATTGTGCTTTGATTGTGTCTTTATATATGTCAGTGGGTTCACTGGTTATGTACGGAAAAACAGAGGTAAAGAACATTAATTTCTCCACACAGATGTGAGGACAGCTAAGAAACAAGAAGGCATTGACTTGAACATCCATTGTCCTACTGTGCAGTAAAAATGTCTATTTGGGAGTAGTGTTCTGTGTCGACCTGACTGGAAAGTTAGACACTTTTCTCTACCTGAGAACTTGTTACTATGGGTTTTTTCCTTGAACCTAAATAAGTAGCATCTGTCCGTGTTCAATTGAAAAGATTATTAGGACAATGTCCTAATCAGAAAAAAAAAATTGAAAATTGATTTGACAGTTTTCTGCAATAGCTTGTTATGAATTCACTTGTTATGTATGCTGAATGTGAAGTTTAAGTTTAATTGAATACATGTTATTATAACTACTGCTGAATTGAAAAATGTTGATACTGATATAAAGTTTATCCATGCACCTTGTTTTTGTTTTTTTGTTTGTTTGCTTTTTACAGTTATTGTGCTAAAAGTGCTTTCATATGACCAAGTTTTTGTTATTTTAAACAGTGTTGGGTTGATGGATTCGCAGTTTGAAAAAAAAATAAATTCGCAGAAACCCTGTTAACTTAGAGGGGTATCATTGTCGGTTTTGATATTGTTTGAGAGTAGGGTTTAATTATATGTGCTGTCATAAGAGTCTATCTGATTTTGATCCAAAATTTTAATTTGTTGGATATTACCGCATTAAATTACAGAATTTAATTTTCTCTCCGATTAAGGAAGTGCTTGCCGAATTGATCAAACCGTGTCACTGTGCTCAACACAATTAGCAAACAGTTTCTATGAAGCCGGTGTATTTATTGAACGTTCACTATTACATCGCGCTGATATCAGGTAATTCTTGTTATGCTCGAACTACGTGAGAATTATTCCCTTCCCTACTACACAAACGCGCGCGCACACGCACGCAGTAAGTGTTACTTTGCTAGCGCACACATGCACGCAGTAAGTGTAACTTTGCTGGCGCACACATGCACGCAGTAAGTGTTACTTTGCTAGCGCACACATGCATGGAGTAAGAGTAACTTTGCTGGCGGTAAGCTACTGGCGTCTTTACCTAAAATCATCTGCTTAATCAATTCTGCTACGAGTTAATTTGATTTAATTTCTGTCTATTTACTTTTGGGTTGCGCGTCTTGCGAATAAACTATATGAGACAATTCAGTCAAACAGATGTAAATTTCGGTTGCTGTTTGGGTGTCGTCTGCTTTACCCAACTAGTGATTCCTTGTCTGTAATCTGTTGCTCGTCACATGCTATCCAGGTTGCCATGGCATGGTACACATGGGTATCCGCCCAGCTGCTGAACGTCAGCGTGAACCCCGCCTGGGTGACCTTGGAAACGAGGGCTTGAAGTCGGAGGTTTCTGTCGGATCTGAAGAAAAAAAGGGAGAAAGTGTAATTAAGAAAGAACCAATATTCTAAATTCATCCCGTATGCGTTCTTCGTTAAATTGAAATAAGCTGTATGGAAGGCAAAGTTATGAGAAAGGCGGGGAAGTTGAGGGCGAAAGTTTTATTGGATTTGAACTTGCTTGGAAGTATTTTATCAACACGATAAATTAATTTAACACTGTAAATTAATAACAGTGGTTTACGCTGATATATAACGTATAAGTAGTTGATTTCCATCAAGAGATAACTTACCTTGCATCTATACCAGCTAGTGACGCGAAGATCGTGGGCGTGAAGTCAAACCGGATGGGGAACTTCACCTCGTGGACCCAGTAACACGGAGTCCCATTGTGCTGGCAGTAGGCACTTGCAACCTGACCTAGCTGACCTGGACATTGAGCGAAAAAAAAAAACAGTTAACAGAATAAATGAAATGGGATAGTCTCTGCATAATTCCTACACATGTGGATCGTGAAATTAGTTGATGTCACGCAAAGATTTGAGTTAGACAATATTTATAAAATTAAGGGCAATTACCAAAGAAAAGTCCCCTTCCACGAGATGTGTTCGAGATAAAGTGTACATGTACTGTAATTCTAGTTAGAAGTTGAGTACTGTATTTACCAGTGCGAAGAAAAGCGCATGGTTTATCTGTACACATTTGTTTTATGCGCTCTGAAAATTTAAGGCGAAAACGAAATAGTCTATGTAAGAAGCAATAGAGCTAGAAAATAAGATGAGAGAAGGAGATGGGTTTGAGATCTAGAAAAATGGACTTACACTTAGCTGTGACGTATGGAGCACAACCCAATAGAAGACACACAATTATGGATGACAGACTCTTCATCTTGGACTTCCAACGTCTTGGCTTAGAACAGCACGGTGGGAAACGTCAAACACTATTTATGCAAAACACAAATTTACACAACTTTGGAGTCATGTGTGACAAACATTGATACCACCGAGCATAAAACGAGATTTGAAATGACAAACCTTTTAACTGAAGAATATAGTTTTCTGCGTTAATGTCATTATCCAGTTGTTGTAGTCGTTAGAAAAATCAACCCTTTCAACGTGAAATGGTCACAGACAAATCATACAGCGCGGTCTACAAGCTGCGAGCAGCGGCACGTTTTCCAAACAAAAACAGTTACACTGACCACTTAATCTGGACACAGCGTGCCTGGACTTAAAGCCATCACCTGCCTAGAGCCATCGCCTGCGTACATGTATGTGTCGTCGTCGCCCCCGTCGTCGCCGCTGCGCAGTATTCGCTGTGGACCCCATATAAATGGAAAACAGTTCGACTTAGTTCCTATTATTTTTAACTCACTTGAGTGATTTTTGGTACTAAAGACAAGTCAAATTCGAATAATAGCTTTATTGGACCATTTTTCTAGAAGTTATGCGGTTTAAAGTGTATTTGTTATTTATCACACTTTGGCATTTTCCAGGCGTGACCTGAACTCCCAGGGACTAGAGGGACTGTATAAGTTTCATTTTCTGAATGTCCATATTAGCAGTGGTAAATTATCAGAAGTGGAGGTGATTATAGTGCTAAACATTGCATAATCATTGACTTCGTCTTAGATCAATATTGCATCGAAATTGACAAATCATAAAAAACGTTCCAATGTGTAAAAGCAGGCTCGCTTTCCAATAGTTTTTTAGGTTATGCAGGCTTTACGATGCATGACTTGTGTAAAAATCCATAGAACTGAAGCCTTATGCTAGTTAGGGCCTACATTTTCTGATCTCCATGTAACCTGCAGTACTTAGTAAAATTGGCGATGATTATGCTGTTAGGTATTCAGTACTATTCCATCACAATTGACAGGAAACCCACCATTTCGTGACCCACCTTAATTTTACTCACCGCAAAATGACTTAATTGGACAACAGCTACTACAATCAGGTAAATGTTGCAGCAGCGACAGGAACCACTACTACTACAACGGTTGAAAATTACTTATTCAAGGCATCGGCGTCAGCTGAGACCTGAAACTGTCATATGTGTCACATTACTAGAATGACAAGCACGTTATTATACCTATATAAACCACAACATGCAGACAAGAAGTTTAGTAGGTTGTATCATATTTCTGCAGTGGAATTATTTTCAACTTGTTGCTGATCAGAATTCATACGTTAAGATCAACCGTTACAATGAGATAGATATCTAGATATGATGTCGACAATTAAAGGCAGACCAAACAAACAATAAATGCTCATAATATATATAGGCAATAGTGCCGAGACAAGTAGAGAAAACGACTAAAGGACACTTGCCGCCTGCATGCAAACCTTGAAATCTATATAGATCTATCTATCTGGCTTCAAAATGTTGAAATAACACTTGATGACTGTGTTGAGCAGCCAACACTGATATACCACGTCCCGTAGGTGCCATCGCGTATTTACTTTTCTCAGTTTCAAGTTTGCCAAATGTAACAAAAAACGTGCGATGTTCTCCTTGTTTACAATCTATTTTATTGATCTTGATTCAATTACAGGCGTCTTAAGTGGATAAGTGGAATTCTTTTGTCTTTTTGCCTTAATGACCTCATCTTCATTTCGTTTTATTTTCTATCAAAAATGGGTTTACGGATCATGATTTTGTAAATGATTTTCGATATTGCATACCTAGGTGACAACGTGTTGAATTTTCCAGGAAAGAAAGGTCAAACTCTCATCGTGTGGTTTTACGTTTTGCAAGATAGATTTATCATAGAATATGAAGACACCCTGAATTTGAAAAATAACCCTTGTTATCAGCGCACCACCAACAGTCACCGCCATTTCACTGAAACGCAGGGTAGGCCTACTGCAGGTTGTTAACCGATGGAATCCACTAATCTAGTATTTATGTGTACCTTTTAATTATTTCATTATCTCTTTGCCGCTCCCCTTTTTGGTCTGTGCTTGGAAGGTTACAAGCCTCAAATCCTATCTGCTGCCAATTTAGTTAATTTCTGCGGAATAGTCCACCTGATCTTTCTGAACTTTCAGCATAAATCTATTGAACTTATAACACTCATAAGATATCTCTTTCGCTTCCGTATAGATCCATTCAATGGCTTATCCGATGCCCAAATAGAAAACGACATGGTTCCAATTTTTTAATTTCCTTTAGGAATTTGGTGCACTGACCGCTGGATAGAGTCAGGTTTCCTGGGGGTTTTTGTAGGATTTCAATTAATATTTGGTGTAGGCAGAGAGAAAAATATGACTTCTAAAACCCACCGAACTTACACGCCGAGTACATTCTTCTATTTCATTAACCATGTCGAACGTGTTGAATCTCCAATTTATTTCTTTTTTATTTTGTCTTTTTTTTTTCATTTTTTAAGTTGATCTTTCATCTTTTCCACCTTTGTTGATAATGATAAATATGCTCCCCTGCCAAAAATTCATGCATGGGGAGTATTGGCTACTGTGGTGTAGGCGAGCTAGCAGTGGTGAAGGAGAACCTAAACACAGACCATTGTATCCAATCACTGGAAAGGAAACTTACGGAATTCTGTCGAAAATATCTTTGGGGGACCATTAATGTTACAACTTTCGTTGGTTGTCTATGCTACTTCTCACACTACTGTTTGTGAACATAACAAAAAGAAACTATAGATACAGTAAATAGATGATTAGTCAAACATAATAACAACGTACGTGATCTAAATCCTCCCTACGTGAGAAGATTTAGTAAGATCGTATTATACAAAGTAAAGTTGAAGTAGGGTGATGGGTACTATTTATGTATAATACATGTGTGTTGTTTTGTGATCCTGACGTAAGGAGCTTATTGTTTTGTGGAGGAAGAACAATATACGATCACTCGGGTATTGCCCGCTATATTGTAATTCGGTCACTCTGCATTTGATAGGAAGTTAAAATTGCTTTTTCATCTTTTTTTAAAATATTTACTACTGGTGAGAAAAAAAGTGCTTCTCGTCTACAATTTTTGTCTGACGATATAGAAGCTCTTTCTTTGTGGCTAGGAGAGAGAGAGAGAGAGAGAGAGAGGCGGACCCATTTATATTTCAGCATGATAGTGCTTCTCCACATACAACCAACGTAACAGCAGGCTGGATATATGCCTACCAGATCCAGACTCCCCCCCCCCCCCCCCCCCCCGCTTCCCCCAAATGACTAGCTCGATCCCTAGATCAGAATCTCATTAAGAACGTGTAGGATATCCTCAGAAATGGATAACTGAGGGATAAGCAATTGCAAAACAAAAAGGGCCTCATACTATCTTTGCACCGTATTTGGAACGCTATCACTGCGCAAACGTGACAGAAATTTTTGACTCCACGCACAAACCCGACAGGTGCCCAGGTGCCTCCTTCAATCCAGAAGATACTGTACAAAATACAAAAAAAAAAAAAAAAAAAAAAAAAAAAAAAAAAAAAAATTGTGGCTTTGATTTTTTTTACTTTGGTTAGCTTATTCATTGGTTGTGCAAATCTGTAAATTTTTGTGAAAAAAAGTCCTTTTAGAAATTTAATAAAGAGCATCGGTTCATGACATTTTTTTGTATCACTTAACGCGTTGCGTTAGGGGTAACACTTTTTTGGTAGGGTGGTATATTAACAAAAAGTATGTTTAATATAGTTTCCTTGTGAGTGTAGAACATCATCATTCAATCATACGGTTCCTGCTGCAGACAAAAGAATTTTCCAACAATTTCAATCTTTGCTATCTTTTTAAATAGCCCAGTTGTTATTGGTAAATAAATATTTATGAAGTGAATCTTCTTACTCTTACTCTTGAAAAACTGGGAGCAATTGAATTTGCACGCATGGTTGCCAAAAAATAAAAGGTTTAATAATTTCATTTATCTATCAATGTTACAACTTTCGTTGGCTGTCTATGCTTCTTCTCACAATACGCCTACTGTTTGTGAACACAACAAAAAGTAACTATAGAAACAGTAAATAGACGATTAGTAAAACAACGTACGTGATCTAAATCCTCCCTTCATGAGAAGATTAAGAAAAATCGTATTATACAAAGTAAAGTTAAGTAGGGTGATGGGTACTATTTATGTATAATACATGTGTGTTGTTTTGTGATCCTGACGTAAGGAGCTTATTGTTTTTTTGTGGAGGAAGAACAATATACGATCACTCGGGTATTGCCCGCTATTTTGTAATTCTGTCGCTCTGCATTTGATAAGAAGTTAAGATTGCTTTTTCATCTTTTTTTAATATTTGCTACTGGCGAGGAAAAAGTGCTTCTCGTCTCCAAGTTTTGTCTGACGATATAGAAGCTACATGAGTTATTTCTTTTTGGCTAAGAGAGAGAGAGAGAGTGATTGAGAGAGAGAGAGAGAGAGAGAGAGAGAGAGAGAGAGTGATTGATAGAGGCGGGCCTAAAATGCCAATTTATGGCCTTATTAAAATACACAGCAAACCCTCCAAAAACATTTATAACAGCGTGTCATAATCGACCTTGCACGCCAACTGATATCAAGTAATATATATATATATATATATGTAAATAACCCTTGTATTTTAATAATAAAAAGCGTTTGATAGAGATTTTCTCTAAAATTATCATCACCAGAGCTATAATTGAATACGAAGACTCATACTGTGGTATAACATTTGCACAAAGTACATGTATGTTGGTCTCGCCACTTTAAGTGTTTTCAATAGCGGAACGTCAAACATGAAGTACGCCTCTAAAAACATGACATTTTCAGAATTGGTATCTTACACCTTAATATTACTCACGCTGATACCGACATAATGGTACATATATAACCCACCAATGTCTACCTCGACGATTTTACACCAAGTAATATAGTATGTAATTATCACCTTGTAATAACACCTTTAATAAAAGATGGCAGCTGTTTCCGTGGTATCGGTTAGGTTTTATGTATCCATGGCTTTAGCTGCAGTTGCCAAGGATGAGCACATTTAAGCTCAAGTACATGTAAGTCAAGGCGGATGCAGGGACGAGGGGAAGGGGGGTAGAGGGGGGTTGCTCCCTCGTTTCAGCTTCTGAAGTATCTTCTTGTGCATTCTCCATCTCCCAAAACAGTAAAACAATCCTAACAAGCAAAAAGAGACAAAAATCAAGCAATTTTTTATTCTTGTGCCGCACACACTATCCTGAAATTGGTCCCGTCTCTATCCCCGCACCCCTCAGCAAAACCACTGTTCCTCAAAAGTAGTACGGTATATGTTATGATAAATAACATTACCAAGAGTGATGTGGATTCTGCTTCCAAATCATTCAAACACTGTCACGTAAACTGTAAAAGCCATTCAATCCATGTGATACATGTACCTACTAGTAGTAGACTTTGCAGTTTCCTGAGGTATTATTTAGAAACCTGTGTATATATCAAACAAAATATGGGGAA